GACAGGCAAAGGAACAAAGGGAGTTCACATCTAAAATTGCCACATGAATGTTTAGCCTAGCCTTGAACTAGATGCGCTTTAACAGATTACAACTAGAAGTGCACCTTCAAAAACTTGCATTCCTAACGGACTACTTTTTGAACCATATTTGTTTCAGGTTTTTGGAAGAATAATTATCAACAATCTTTATATATTTAGAGAGTAAACTCTTCATTTATTTAAAAAAAAAAAGAAACTGCAGGGTTATTCATATGGAGCTATTACTTGCACATGATGACATGGCATTCATTTAAACATGTATTCTATTGACAACCAGAAGGCATAACCATTTATCTGCACGATTAAATGTTCTTTATATATGTAGTCGATTGTCCGCTCATAAAATGTTTATTAGTTTAAGTAATTTATAATTTTTTTTGTATACTCTTAGGCATCAAGATCTTCTCAAAACCGCAGGATATATATCTTATTGAATACGTTACAAAATTTAAATAATTACTCCTTGCACACCATTATAAAATTTTCATGTTCAACAATTGTTTTCACTTTGTTCTTTCAGGAACTGCACATGGAAGTCACAAGGAGAGTGGTTTCACCCTTGAGAAGACAGTTCATTTTAATAAAGGGACAAACGATGTTGCTTTACTTAGTGTTATGGTTGGATTGCCGGTAACCAGAATTAAAATTTTATCATTTCTCCAATACATTTTACTTACATGCTTGCCACTCCATTAGGAAACAAACTAATAACTATGAGATGCACGTCCAATGATTCTATTGCGTAACTTAAAGACATAGGAACAATTTTTGTTTTAAATGTTAGAACGGCAAAAGGCATAATGAAGTCTTCAAAAAGCTACTTCAACTTCTGAGATGAAATTGTTGGTGATTATCATTTTAATGGAGCGTCTTCGTAAATATTGAAGTATACTTAAATTTTTATATAAAGGATTCAGGAGCACATCTTGAGCGAAAGGCTGCTGGGTTACACACAGTAAGGGTTCAAGACAAAGACTGTACCAGACAATCCTGGGGATATCAGGTAATGCCTCCTAGTGCAAAACTAGTTTTAGTACACTTAACACTTTATGATGTGGTATTCATCATTTCCTTCTGTTTATGATCTTCAGAAACACAGCAACTGTTTTAAAAATTTCCTTCCATATGAATAAAAAAATAATAATCTCTCACAATGTAATGTGGCCCCAATTATTGTTTGCCCTGGGGTAATAACAGTTCAGGTATCTTAATTAAATTATATTTTTTTCTACTGAACCACATCAAGTTCATCTCTACTTAAAGTAATTGCTGAAAACGCTTTCATTCTGTTCTCTCTCAGGAAGCAGCTCAGCTTAACCATCCATGTTTTCTATAATCTTTTCGACAAAAAAAAGAAAAAGAGAGAGAGATTACTAGAGGCAGAAGAACCAAAAATGTATAAAAGCGTAGGATGAGAAATCCTACACAACCAACAAAAGGAAAAAAAGAAAAAGAAAGAAATGCACAAAGTAATAGAAAACTGAAATCCAGCCCTTTGTAAAAAAAAAACCTAGAGGCATCCCTAAAGAACCCATGAGCCTTGATCCACAAGAAAGCAAAGAAAGCCCCTTTGTCCCAGAGAACAGAGTAGAAAAGCTCCAAACACAACATTAAAAAACTAGCACAAAGAGCCTATCCACAAAGTCCTCTAGCTTTCTTCTTCACCCCAATTCCCAGATGGGACAAAGTTACAAAATACCAAGCCAGCAACATAATGCCAAAAGTATCAAAAGGCTACACCAAACTCCGCAAGCCACCGCCACAACACAAAAAAGAGACAGCAGGGACTTCCACATAACTTTCCACCTATCACCACCCGATAAGCTTGCTCTCCTCATTGACCATTTGAAATCCATCCGCCACATTCTAGATTCGTGTAGCCTTCCTATGCTCAAACCTCCTCATCTACCATTACCTGGTCCTAAACATCAAGCTCCAACTCCCCTATGCCTCACTTGGCCGCCTTTGCGACTCTATCTACCTTTTTAACCAAACCCCAGACCCAAACATCTTCCCCTTTACTGCCATTATCAACATCAACTTAGTTCACTGTCTCCATGATCAAGCTATTACATTTATATGCAGATGCTAGTTTAGGGTGTTCAGCCAAACAAGTTCATCTTCTCATCCATTTTACAATCTTGCTTTCTTGAAAGCAGAAAACTGATTCACTCTCATGTGGTTAAGCTGGGTTGGCTCGGATGTATATGTGTAATCAATGTGCAAGCATCAGGAGCTGATATTGCGTACGCAAGAAAGGTGTTTGATAGTGGAACATCCCCCACTTTGAAATTGATAAAAGATAGGTACAACAGAAGGACTTGAGAATAGCTTTCATTGGACTTTAATGAGCTATGATCTCCCTGCTATTGCATTCTATCCTGCCTGCAATTTCCAAGAACATTGTTGATCACATTGTGCCACAAAAAACTAGGTTCTCGTGTATAGTGCCAAAGCTATTTAGCCAAAAGAGATAAGTTTTTTGATCCAAGATTTATGATACCCAAACCAGTAGACTTCTTAGACTGAGAACAAACCTTCCAACTTACTAAGTGATCTCTGTTGTTATGGTCCTTCCTGACGGCGTGTTATGGGACGTTTGACAAGAAGCCATATAGCTTTGCACCAAATATGAATTGCATTCAGCAAAATTAAAAAAAGCCATGAGAGGTCCCAGCCACTGGCAACTCCTCCCAACCCACTACCTGTCCATCTCAAACATTCTCACAACCCCTCATTCATATTTTCAACCTTTGACTCCTGTAAATAGACAGTACACCTTCTCTCTTTAAAGAATCCTTTTTTATACTTTAAGGAACCCGATAATTGTAGCCTTTTTGCATCTGTCGCTCATCTCCCTCCTACTCCAAAAAATGATTCTATTAATGACTGCAATTGGGTAGAGATAAAGCCTTCCCATTTCCCAGAATTTCCCATTCAATTGACTTGTCCTTTTTTCATAATTATCTATACACCTGGTCTCTTTAGTCTCTAACTCTGCCTCTCTTTCCCTTCAGATTCCTAT